CCGCCCGTGACTCACCCGCGCGCTCTGCCTTCATCCCCGGCCCAGCGCTCCTTTTTCCCCCGAATCTCGGCCCCGCCCACCTCACCTGCGGCCGCCTTTAACCCTTGCGGGCTCGGCTGGACTGGAGGCCCTGCGGAGCCCGGCCTGCGAGGAGGGGGCGGGCGGGGAGTGGGGGAGGGATCGCTAACTAGGTCGCCTCCCGCCCCCTCCCTCGCTCCTCCCTTGTCCTTCCACTCCTTCGGCGAGGGGCGCGGGCGGAGCGTTCCCCAGGTTCCGAGAACCGCCCCACCGGGTGGAAAGCTGCCCTCGAGTTGGCTAGGTCTAGCAGGAGGCACAGGACTCAGACCCCGGGGGAATAGAGGAGGGAGCGGGTCCTGGGTGTGATACCGAACTACCTGAGGGCGCCGTTCGCCTCGACGGCCCTCGGCCCACCAGCGCTGCCCCGGAATTGAGAGGAAAGAAAGAAACAGGACTGAGCGCCAAGTACGTGTCGGGTCCCCCCCCCAGGCCCGTGCCGCGAGAAATTCATCCTGGCTGCTTCTCTCCTTCCCCATTCCCCCGCCGCTTCTCCCTCTACCACCACCACCCTCCCCAGGCCTTTGCTCTCCCTCGCTTCCCGGTTCTCCGTCTCTGGCCACTCGCCTTTTTGGGGTGACCTCCTCCTCCTCTCCTCTCCCTACTCACTCAACTGCCCCATTCTGCCTGCCCCCACTCGTCTCCCAGGCCCCCTCAGCTCTCACTCTCCATGTTCCCTTAGGCAGCAACCCTGGCGCCTCCTAAATCCACCTCTCAAATAGCCCCGCCACCCTCGCCCCCGCACACCCGGCGCTGAAAGCTGGGGCAGGCGCCTGAACGGCCCTGGGAAGGGACACTTCTGGAAAGACTTGAGCAACCCCTTGCCACCACTCCCCGATTCTCACCCGAATGTCTAAACCCGAGGTTGTTAGCTCTGGTGAAGGGTCTGGGATTCCTTTGGGAAAAACGAATGCACGTACCCAATGCAGCATTCTAGCAAAATTTCAGGGCGTTCGCGGCGCCCACCTAAAACCTTCTCTCAAGATCCGAGTTGGTCGAGATACCCAGCACCCGTGGGTGGAGGAGTGCCCCCCTCCGCACCACCACCACTTCCCCCCAAGCCTGGCAGGGCTCTGCGCCCCGCTAGTCCGGTTGCTGTCTCCTCTACGCGCTGCATTGACCTCCTTGAGTGACCCTTGTCTTGCAGGGGAATTCTGATCGATTTTCGTATTTTTTTCGGGATTCCCTAAGCGCTCTGCCATCGGCTTCTTAAAAATTCGTTTTTGTCATTTCAGTCTGTTTCGCACAGCCCGACCGATATTTAAGCTGATTGAATCTCGTCTCTACGACGGCGATTCCATCATCATTGGTTTACCCGTCCCGCATTCTGGTTTGGGACGCACTCGAAGCGCGACAATAAAATGATAAACTGAATCCACAAGCCACTGAAAAATCGATCTTTGTGTATATGGTTTCCCCTGAAACACATGCGTTCTCCTGTCCAGGGTCAATGTCTGATTAATTTGTGTATCTGTCTCTTTTCTAAGACTCAGTTTCCTCATCTGGACAGTCTGGGTACAAGTTGGGAGGGTTTCCTGAAGCTTAAAAGAATCGATATACTAAAAATACCCTCATGGGCACCTGGTAAGCTCACAATAAACAGAAGATATTGTTGTTGTTGTTGTTGTTGTGATAATTATTTTAAAAGTCGACTCCCACCAATGTTTGTTGAATTAAGGTATATTCCCAAAGGTCTTTGGACTAGAAGTTGACAGACCCATATTCTAGCCCCAGCCCTGTACTTGCTAAACTGATCTGACAGGTCGAGTTGCTCTGAGCCTCAGTTTCCTCCCGGGTGAAATTCGATTACAGCGGCTGCACGGGGAGTAAGGGACAGGCGCTTGGGAAGCTTCCAGGCGCCTCCCAGATGTCAGGGTTGTATTTTCTGATCAGTTGGGTTTCCTTCTTCCCGACACTCAGGCTCCTGAGGTGTAGGGTCTCTCTGCATCTTTGTGGCCATGGCTACATTGAGGGTCCTCTCTATCGTCATGGTTTTATCTCCTCCATTCACTCACTCAGCGTGCAAATGTTGGCTATTTGGGTTTGCATCCTCGTTCACAGCCACATCTGCAACAGAGTTAGAGGCTCATGTCACAGAGCCTGCAACTCGGATTCCTAGGTTAAGTCTGATTCGACCCCTAGTTATTCTTTGCCTTCTCTTCCCTGCATGGTGACCGAGTTCCTGGCTTTCATTTACCTATAGGCACCAGATTGTCTAATCTTTCTGGCTTCTATGTTTCCCTGGAAAGCAACAGGGAAAGGGATCCAGCTCCTGGATGATAGACATCCCACCCCAGAAATCCATCTTCCACTCTGAGCCACAGATACCTGGGGTTCCCAGAAACAAAGACCCTCCATCTGTCTATGGCTCATCAGCATGGAATTCCACAGCAATGCCGCTGTCTTAGAAAGCTCAGCTATTCTGATATTTTATCCTGCCTAGGTTTCTGCTTCTGACTCAGAGCACTATCTTCCTCCCAGATCTCCCTCTGCTCGTGTTCCTCTGAGTCCAGACGTTTCCATTTCCTA